TGAAGGATAATCATCTTGTTCCAGGTGGGAGAAGCAGGTGCTCCTGGCAGAAGAATCTACATAAGCAAATGTCTGGAAACTGCCTGGGTGGGGCCTTCAGTAGGAGCAGGGACCAAGGCAATGCAAGGAGGCAATGAGCATCTGCTGTGCTCAGGGACTGTGCTCATTGCTGGGGACAGAAGGGTGACTAAGGGGGACATTTGGGAGCATGAGGGGGAGGATGAGGAAGGAGGATCTGGGGACAAGCCCATGGGGTGGAGGGAATAATTTTCCCAGGATCCCACTGTCTGGGGCAGGTCTTCCTTCTAGAAACCTGTGGGAGGCAGGGTGGGCTGCACAGAGAAGGCCTTGGGAGGTCAGACCTGGAGTTGCTTAAGGCGTCAGCAGGCAGGGCGAGGCTCGCCTGGCATGGTGCAGGTTGGGCAATGTGCTTGATCCTGAGCTTCTCAGAACGTGGACATTTGCTTTCGGTTTCGCTTTCCAGGCACCTTGGCCCCAGGTGTGTCTGGTGTTTGTGCAGACACAGCCACAGACTGGTTCTGCACAGCTATCAGGAAGTGGATCTTATTCCTAATCAGCCAGAGGGAGATTCTAGGTAAGTTGGGAGGGTAGGAGCCCCTCCCCGATCTTCTCATCCTCACACTTTCTCAGACAAGGATTATTGTCACTATTGCATAGATGAGGGAAACTGAAATTCGAGGGGATAGGAGGGTGGGTAATGGGCCCAAGGGTGAAGTGGCAGAGCCTAGTTTGGAACCCAGGTTAGTCGAGGGTTCCTCTCTCCTCCTGAGCTCTTAGCAGTGGAGAGGAAGGGGACACTGCTCAGGTCGGTATGCAAGGACCCCTCCAGCTCAACACAGTCTTGGGCTACCTGAGACAGGAGCCAGGGACCCCAGAGGAAGGGGAATATAGGGGTGATGTGGAGAAAGCTGAGAAGGTGGATGTGGGGTGATGGGGAGGCAGAGGAGGTGGCCTTGGGATGATGTGGAGGGGGCAAGGGAGGTGGATGTGGGGAGATGTGGAGAAGGCAGAAAAGGTGGGGGACGGTAGGTGAGTAAGAGTCTCCACTCCTTGCTGCCTGGATGACCTGAGACTGCCTTCCAGGGCTGCTGCTGAGGCTGATGGGGGCAAAGGATTTCCTTTGAGAATTAAAATCATGACATTGTTTCACATACCCTTTCAGCTTAGTGCTGGGCCTTGTGGGGAAACTGAAGCCCTGAGAGGGGAATGACTTGCCCCTGGCGCCATGAAGGGAGACTGAGCAAGAGGATGGGTGGGCTCTGCTCTTGGCTGGTCCTCAGTTGAGGACCGTGGGGGGTGGGAGACATAAGAGGTGGTCCTGTGTGTCCAGAGTCGGGGAGAAGCCCTGACCTAGGGCTTGAGACAGGCATGTGGCATGACCCAGTTTTTCATCTTTTTTTAAAAATATATATTTTATTGATTTTTTACAGAGAGGAAGGGAGAGAGATAGAGAGTTAAAAACATCGATCAGCTGCCTCCTGCACATCTCCCACTGGGGATGTGCCTGCAACCCAGGTACATGCCCTTGACGGGAATCGAACCTGGGACCTTTCAGTCCGCAGGCCGACGCTCTATCCACTGAGCCAAACCGGTTTCGGCCCGGTTTTTCACCTTTAAAAACCAACAGTAGACAAAATACAGCTGGAGGAGTCTGAGCCCAGATCCCTGTGTCTGTACAGCAGAGACACACCTGGGAGCTGCTGCCTTATTCACACCACATCCCTCCTCAGCCTCCAGCACCAGGAGGGGAGGGCTCTACTCTGCCCCCAGGAGCTGCCTGACGCTGGGCAAGCCCCTTTTCTGAGAATGATTTGTTCCTGTGTCTCCCCACGTTTAAGAATCTGGGTTCAGCCTCTCCATGTTGATCTGTAGGCTCCTGTGTGCTGTGGACAGCGAGTCACCTGTGGTCTCTGTACCTACTGCACAGAGTGTCCCGGCCTCTCATGGTCTGCCTTGGTTGATGGCAGCCTTTGCGTTTGTAATTTTCAACAGGACAAATCAATCAAAGTTTCCCTTTATGCTTCTGGAATTTGTGTCTTGATTATCAATGTTTCTGCAATTCAACATGAGTTTTAACCTTCCTTCCCACCCACTTTTATTTTTAGGTTTTACTTTAACTTTTCAATCCTCACCTCATGATATTTTTTCCATTGATTTTTAGAAATAGTGGAAGGGAGGGAGAAAGAGGAGGAGAGAAACATCAGTTTGAGAGAGGCATATCAATTTGTTGCTTCCCCCACCTGCACTGTGCCCAACTTGGTTCATGGATAGAACCTATTATGCAGGTCCATGCCCTTGACCAGGAATCGAACTCTTGACCCTTCAGTGCCTGGGCTGATGCTGCAACCACTGCATCTGTGTCTTAGATTATGGGCTCAATTCCAAGGAGGGGTGTGCAGGAGGCTGCCAATGGATGCTTCTCTCTCATTTATGTTTCTATCTCTCTCTCCATTCCCTTCTTCTCTCTGAAGCAAAGAAAAACATTTTTTAAATATATGGGCAGGTTATTTAATGATGAGAGAGAATCATTGATAGGCTGCCTCATACATGCCCCACACTAGGGTTGGAGCCCGCAACCCGGGCATGTGCCCTGACCGGGAATTGAACCGTAACCTCCTGAATCATAGGTCCACACTCAACCACTGAGCCGCACCAGCTTGTCTCTCATTTATGTTTCTATCTCTCTTTCCATTCCCCTCTTCTCTCTGAAGCAAAGAAAAATATTTCTTAAACCATATTTTTTTTACCATATTTTCTTAGTATACTCGTCGACGACTGAAAAAGAACATTTTGTGAAAACGAGTATACACCTTTCTGCCGGGGAAGGGGTTAAGCAAGCTGGTCCATTGTATCTGTGCATCCAGGTTAACATGCATTTGAAATAACCACCCTCAAGAGAGCACAACCTTGCGTGACCATTGTGGCTCAGTGGTTGAGTGTTGACCCATGAACCCAGAGGTCAGCATTTCCATTCCCAGTCAGGGCACATACTCAGGTTGTGGGCTCAATTCCCAGTAGGGGGTGTGCAGGAGGCAGCCAATGGATGCTTCTCTCCTCATTGATGTTTCTATCTTTCTATCCCTCTTCCTTCCTCTCTCTCTAAAATCAATAAAACCATATTTCACACACACGCTTTCTTTTTTTTG